ATCCTGCCCGACGACACACGACTGAGGAGAAGAACACAGATCCTGCCCGACGACACACGACTGAGGAGAAGAACACAGATCCTGCCCGACGACACACACGACTGAGGAGAAGAACACAGATCCTGCCCGACGACACACACGACTGAGGAGAAGAACACAGATCCTGCCCGACGACACACGACTGAGGAGAAGAACACAGATCCTGCCCGACGACACACACGACTGAGGAGAAGAACACAGATCCTGCCCGACGACACACACGACTGAGGAGAAGAACACAGATCCTGCCCGACGACACACACGACTGAGGAGAAGAACACAGATCCTGCCCGACGACACACACGACTGAGGAGAAGAACACAGATCCTGCCCGACGACACACACGACTGAGGAGAAGAACACAGATCCTGCCCGACGACACACACGACTGAGGAGAAGAACACAGATCCTGCCCGACGACACACACGACTGAGGAGAAGAACACAGATCCTGCCCGACGACACACGACTGAGGAGAAGAACACAGATCCTGCCCGACGACACACACGACTGAGGAGAAGAACACAGATCCTGCCCGACGACACACGACTGAGGAGAAGAACACAGATCCTGCCCGACGACACACGACTGAGGAGAAGAACACAGATCCTGCCCGACGACACACGACTGAGGAGAAGAACACAGATCCTGCCCGACGACACACACGACTGAGGAGAAGAACACAGATCCTGCCCGACGACACACACGACTGAGGAGAAGAACACAGATCCTGCCCGACGACACACACGACTGAGGAGAAGAACACAGATCCTGCCCGACGACACACGACTGAGGAGAAGAACACAGATCCTGCCTGACGACACACGACTGAGGAGAAGAACACAGATCCTGCCCGACGACACACACGACTGAGGAGAAGAACACAGATCCTGCCCGACGACACACACGACTGAGGAGAAGAACACAGATCCTGCCCGACGACACACACGACTGAGGAGAAGAACACAGATCCTGCCCGACGACACACGACTGAGGAGAAGAACACAGATCCTGCCCGACGACACACGACTGAGGAGAAGAACACAGATCCTGCCCGACGACACACGACTGAGGAGAAGAACACAGATCCTGCCCGACGACACACGACTGAGGAGAAGAACACAGATCCTGCCCGACGACACACACGACTGAGGAGAAGAACACAGATCCTGCCCGACGACACACACGACTGAGGAGAAGAACACAGATCCTGCCCGACGACACACACGACTGAGGAGAAGAACACAGATCCTGCCCGACGACACACACGACTGAGGAGAAGAACACAGATCCTGCCCGACGACACACACGACTGAGGAGAAGAACACAGATCCTGCCCGACGACACACACGACTGAGGAGAAGAACACAGATCCTGCCCGACGACACACACGACTGAGGAGAAGAACACAGATCCTGCCCGACGACACACACGACTGAGGAGAAGAACACAGATCCTGCCCGACGACACACACGACTGAGGAGAAGAACACAGATCCTGCCCGACGACACACGACTGAGGAGAAGAACACAGATCCTGCCCGACGACACACGACTGAGGAGAAGAACACAGATCCTGCCCGACGACACACACGACTGAGGAGAAGAACACAGATCCTGCCCGACGACACACACGACTGAGGAGAAGAACACAGATCCTGCCCGACGACACACGACTGAGGAGAAGAACACAGATCCTGCCCGACGACACACACGACTGAGGAGAAGAACACAGATCCTGCCCGACGACACACACGACTGAGGAGAAGAACACAGATCCTGCCCGACGACACACGACTGAGGAGAAGAACACAGATCCTGCCCGACGACACACACGACTGAGGAGAAGAACACAGATCCTGCCCGACGACACACACGACTGAGGAGAAGAACACAGATCCTGCCCGACGACACACACGACTGAGGAGAAGAACACAGATCCTGCCCGACGACACACACGACTGAGGAGAAGAACACAGATCCTGCCCGACGACACACGACTGAGGAGAAGAACACAGATCCTGCCCGACGACACACACGACTGAGGAGAAGAACACAGATCCTGCCCGACGACACACGACTGAGGAGAAGAACACAGATCCTGCCCGACGACACACGACTGAGGAGAAGAACACAGATCCTGCCCGACGACACACGACTGAGGAGAAGAACACAGATCCTGCCCGACGACACACACGACTGAGGAGAAGAACACAGATCCTGCCCGACGACACACACGACTGAGGAGAAGAACACAGATCCTGCCCGACGACACACACGACTGAGGAGAAGAACACAGATCCTGCCCGACGACACACACGACTGAGGAGAAGAACACAGATCCTGCCCGACGACACACACGACTGAGGAGAAGAACACAGATCCTGCCCGACGACACACACGACTGAGGAGAAGAACACAGATCCTGCCCGACGACACACACGACTGAGGAGAAGAACACAGATCCTGCCTGACGACACACGACTGAGGAGAAGAACACAGATCCTGCCCGACGACACACACGACTGAGGAGAAGAACACAGATCCTGCCCGACGACACACAAGACTGAGGAGAAGAACACAGATCCTGCCCGACGACACACACGACTGAGGAGAAGAACACAGATCCTCTTTGCTGTCGATGAGAGAACACAGCTCTTCTCTGGAGACGCAACTCTTTTACAGAGACGTTTCCACGGCCGAGCCACTGAGGAATATTGTTTGTTCAAGTCTCATTAATCAAAGCGTTATCAAATATATATTTATTGTGGTGTCGATTAATCCAAAATAAAAGTTTGTGTTTGCATAATATAGTACTGTATAAATACACACATACATGCATGTATATACTGTATCTATATATAATTTATATTATATATAAATATTTTTAATATAAATAACACATTTTTATTAAATATATACATGCATCTGTGTGTATTTATATATGCAAAAATAATTATTCACAGTACACACTAGGGTTGCCGCGGTGAGGAAAATTTCCCACCGGTTAATCGACGTTTGACAACACCGGTTATCCCGGTGTCACCGTGGGGGGCGGGGGGGTTAAAAAGCTTTTACAGAGCTGCCAACTCTCACGCATTGGCCGCGAGACACACGCATTTGATTGCTTTCACACGCTCTCACGCCACACTCCCGATTTCTCAGGCATGAAGTGTCAACCTGGTCGGTCAAATGCCTGGAAGATGAGTTTATCTATATATCTGCCTGTTGAGCAACTCGTGATCGACTAATTATACCGCAAAATAGTTAAAATCTCCTGGAATCTAGAGCGAGCGCGCACGCGAGACAGAGATTGTGCTTCAAACCGCGTAGCGCGCGCGTACGGGAGAGAGGGAAAGCGAGCGAGAGACCTTGCGTGTGTAAGTTTTTAGCAAAAACGAATACTTTAAAAAAGTCAAGACATCGCGGTGTCACGGTGGGAAAGTGATGTCACCGGTGATGGGGCTTAAAACCGGTAACACCGTCAACACCGTCTATCGCGGCAAGCCTAGTACACACACATATATTATGTAAACACAAACTTTTATTTTGGATGCGATTAGTCGTTGCACAGCCCTGAATTAATTCAAATTAAAAATTAAATAAAACATAATTAGATAAATAAATAAAGACCCCTAAAGTGTCAATATATGAAGCGCCTGACGGACCCCTTTAAGGTTCAACGAAGAATCTGTTTGTGCCGCGTATGGAGTCATGTTGTTTAAAGGGATAGTCCTCAAGCCACCAGGTGTATATGACACTCTTCTTTCAGACGAACACAATTATTATTAAATTAAATTATTATATTAAAAAATGTCCCGGCTCTTCCAAGCTTTATAATGGCAGTGAATGGCTGTTTCTGTTTGTTTTGAAGTCCATGATGCAATTTTATGATGGACAGATGCACTTTTATGATGGATAGATGCACTTTTATGATGGATAGATGCACTTTTATGATGGACAGATGCACTTTTATGATGGACAGATGCACTTTTATGATGGACAGATGCACTTTAATGATGGACAGATGCACTTTTATGATGGACAGATGCACTTTTATGATGGATAGATGGACTTTTATGATGGATAGATGCACTTTTATGATGGATAGATGGACTTTTATGATGGATAGATGCACTTTTATGATGGACAGATGCACTTTTATGATGGATAGATGCACTTTTATGATGGATAGATGTACTTTTATGATGGATAGATGCACTTTTATGATGGACAGATGCACTTTTATGATGGATAGATGCACTTTTATGATGGATAGATGCACTTTTATGATGGACAGATGCACTTTTATGATGGATAGATGCACTTTTATGATGGACAGATGCACTTTTATGATGGACAGATGCACTTTTATGATGGATAGATGCACTTTTATGATGGATAGATGCACTTTTATGATGGATAGATGCACTTTTATGATGGACAGATGCACTTTTATGATGGACAGATGCACTTTTATGAAGGACAGATGCACTTTTATGATGGACAGATGCACTTTTATGATGGACAGATGCACTTTTATGATGGACAGATGCACTTTTATGATGGACAGATGCACTTTTATGATGGATAGATGCACTTTTATGATTGATAGATGCACTTTTATGATGGACAGATGCACTTTTATGATGGACAGATGCACTTTTATGATGGATAGATGCACTTTTATGATGGACAGATGCACTTTTATGATGGATAGATGCACTTTTATGATGGACAGATGCTCACTGCCATTATAAAGCTTGGAAGAGCCAGGACATTTTTTAATATAACTCTGATTGTATTCGTCTTAAAGAGTGTCATATACACCTAGGATGATTTCAGGGAGAGTAAATCATGGGCTAAAATATTCATTTTTGGCTGAACTATCCCTTTAAGAAGCGTAAATCTGATTTGATGTTCATGATTTTAAGCTAGCTGTTTGCCTCTGCTCCCTCAACAGCCCAATCTCACGCTGCACTCGGACCGGCCCGATCTCCCAGAATGCTTCCAGCTGTCGGTCCTGCCCTGGGCTCCCTGCATCTACCTGTGGGTCACCTCACCTTTCTACATCCTCTACCTCCGGAGGAACAGCAGGGGATACATCATGATGTCTGTGTTAAACAGAATCAAAACGGTAAGAGATCTCATCGTCTCCCTGAGAATGTATTGCTGATGTCCGCATTAACGTAATGCAAACATTATTTCTAGTGGTGCAACGGATCACAAAATTCACGTGCACTCACTTGCACAATTCACCATTTAAACTATGTTTTACATCTGATATACATATTTAGATTAAACATGCCATTCTCATTAACGGAGATAAGTACTTAAATTGCATCAAATCATCACAGAGAAGATACAATTTGTATATTCTAATAAATAGAAATATTTGTAGTGGATGCGATGCGTTCGAACACTTTTCCTGTTGTAATGTTTGCTCAGCGCAGGATAACAGCAGAACTCGTGGTCTGAGGAAATATTTACATGCAAATAATGATCAATATTTTTCCATTAAAAATACTGCTTGGCGAGTGGAAAAGATTGAGGGAAACTTTCTCTGAAATGTATTTTATACTATTTGATTCATTTATTCAAAAACAAGGCGAGGATCGGCTACTAAATGATTTTTCACAATGTAATGTGACGCACATCCGTATATCATATTCTCCTAATGTCTTGTACCGTTAAACATGGTAACACGTGCATGAATATGCATATGCAAATGATATGCAGATGAGGATCTGCATAGTAAACGAGGCGTTGTCAGCTCATATATGGTTATTTCCGGGAGGAGACGCATGTGAACACAATGCAAGTCTATTAATGTTACTAATGTTCCCAGTTAGCTGATATGCGCATGTTTGTGGCTTCAGTTCTCTGTTATCTGTGTGTAATGATTCTTTATATGTGTGTGTGCAGGCTCTGGGCTTGATATTGTGGATAGTATGCTGGACAGACCTGTTTTCTTCATTTCATGAGATGAACCAGGATCGCATTATACCTCCAATATATTTTGTTACACCTTTAATAGTCGGCATGACAATGGTAAGTGAGAAGAACATCTGACAAATATGTGTCTGATCTTAAAATCAGTTTCAATGAGTTTCCAGACCTCTAAACGTCACTGAAAGCAAGCTGCAACTATGGCTTATTCTCAGCACAGTTCAATGTGAATTGGTTTGTGAATCTGTGCCAGTGTAATTCGGCCGTTAGCGTTCACTTTCATAAATGCAGTGTGTGGACAGTGGTTATGAAGAAGTCTTGGTTGACTTTTTGGTGACAATTGAAATATAAATAAGGCACATTTTACAACTTTGCAGGCATATTCATGACCCTAAATGACAAATAAACACACATTTGCAAGAAAAACATATCAGGTTAACCAGTATTTCCACTAATTGAACACTAGACACACTATACTAACTTTATAAATGGACTTGAGGGGGGTAAATAAAATGCCTAATAAAATGCATGATATGACTCCAGTTTTTTATGATCACTATGCCAATTTTTTCAATACTTTTAACAATTTTCCTAAACTCTTAACACAGTTAGCACAACATCCGTTGTAGAGAGGCTTGAAAAGAAACTGTAGTGTAAACCACAATCTATGATCAATACAATACACTGTCTATTGTATAAGGGCAGACCTGACACACACACACACACAATGATGCAGTTTCTGATGTTAGTGTTTTTATGACATTGTGCGATGATTGACTAAATGTTCCTGTTGGAAGAGAACATGTGTTAGTGTTTTGAAATAATTCTTTGATTTTGAGACATGTTTGCAGTGTTTTGGTATACATACAGGTGAAACTGGAAAAATTAGAATATGGTGCAAAAGTTCATTTATTTCAGTAATTCAACTTAAAAGGTGAAACTAATATATTATATAGACTCATTACATGCAAAGTGAGATATTTCAAGCCTTTATTTGTTATAATTGTGATGATTATGGCTTACAGCTTATGAAAACCTTTTCACAATATTCTAATTTTGTAAGCTGTAAGCCATAATCATCAAAATTATAACAAATAAAGGCTTGAAATATCTCACTTTGCATGTAATGAGTCTATATAATATATTAGTTTCACCTTTTAAGTTGAATTACTGAAATAAATGAACTTTTGCACCATATTCGAATTTTTCCAGTTTCACCTGTAGTGTATTATTGTATTTTTAGTGTACAATGTGTGATTTTGAGCATGAAATTAACTGTTTTGCCAATGTGTTGGTGCGTTTAGAGTTTAGGAAAATTGTTAAAAGCATTGAAAAAATTGTCATAGCGATCGTAAAAAAAACTGTAATTTGGTAAGAATACAGACAGGCTGTCTATCTCTGCCCAGAGGGTCGTGTAAAACACATGTTTCTCTACTCCAGTTGTTAGCCACGTTCCTGATCCAGTTCGAGAGGCTGAGAGGAGTGCAGTCGTCCGGTGTGCTCTTCATATTCTGGACGATCTCAGTGTTGTGTGCCATTGTGCCTTTCCGGTCCAAAATCCTGCATGCCAAACAAGAGGTCAGTGCCTGAAACACACCAGTGCATGCGTTTCAACGGGATATTCTAGTCGAGTGGTTTGTTTCTGTCTAACCGTGTACATGTTTGATCTCTCGGTAACGTTTCGCTCTCTGCAGCTTCTCCTCCGGTGTTGTTTTCACATGCATCTGTTCACCTACATGTTTCCTCAGCATTATGAGGAGTTCGGCTCAGGCCACGGCTGTTTTGAGAGAATAGTGCTGCTGTTGTTCCTCAAACCTGCTTAAGACAGCTTATCTAACTCACAGAGCAACACACACAGCTCAAGGCTGTCACTCCGCTAGTCTAACACATCTGATTCTTGCTCCTGGCTATAACAAATGCCATCTGATTATGAATTTTGTGCAATATTTTATTTATGCATAGCTTTTATCCAAAGTGATTTTCGTTGCATTTAAAGTTTTCATATT